ATTTTCGTCATATTTTAGACAATCTATGTTTAAGTCCCCAATACAAAATAGTTTTTTTTGCTCATTGCTGTTTTTTAAGAAGATTTTTTTTAAATGATTACTAAATTTTGATATCTCACCTTCTGAAGGTCTGTAACATGTGGAAACCAAAATGTTTTTTAATTTTGTATTAGCTATTTCAATAGTAAAAACCTCACTATAGGCATAGGATGTTGAAAGGTCATATCTAATTTTTGTTGCAAGATCATTCCGAACATAAGTCATAATTGCACCTCCCTTTTTGTTAGTTTTTCTTTCATACGATAATAGCTTGTATTTTGTATTTTCTAAATTTGAATTAGTTCTGGATATTTCGTAAGAACACCAGGTTCTGTTATGCAAATCATGCTGAATAAGTAATTGCATTCGATAAGAAAATGTTTTAGCTTACCGAAGTTGTTACTTATGCTTCTAATGTTTATGTGTATTACCGTAAAGTCACTCTTTATGGTTTTTAATTCATTTATAAAAGTTTTCATTTCAAAGAAAGACGAATTAAAATTATTTGTATTGAAAAAATGCTAGTCTGCATCAGAAAAGTCATTTAGTAAAACATTAGCCGATTCGAAAACATTAAAGTGCAATTTTTCAAAGTCTATTGTTAAGCAAGCCGTATGTATAATAATAAATTAAATTAAATACTTAAAAACAAAAATAAATCCCCGCGTGATTATATTCAGTAAACAAACTCCTTTGAGTTTGTTTACTGAATTTAAAATTCTGTTTTTATCTTGATAGTTGAGTAGTTTTAACACAATTGATCTTGGTGTTTTGCTGTTATTGAATGAACCGACTCGATGTGCTCGTTCCACTACTACCGTAAGATTGGGTGGCTTTGGTCCAAGCGAAATTTTTGTTTAAAAATGGTTTAAAATCTATACCTCAAGATATGCTGGTTGATGTTTAGTAGCAAATTGTGGGAAATTTATTATTTATTTAGTCTAACTTAGTTTAGTTAACTCGAGTCTTTGTGATATTATTGTAAATTGCACTTTAGAAGAAGCACCTAAAATTCGAATTTTTTTAGGTGTGTAAACTTTTACATCGATGGCAGTACCTGTAGAAGGTTTTTTATTGGAATATACACTGAATTAATTTTAAACCATTAGTGTTTGATTCTATCTTGTTTTGAAAGCTTAATAGTTTATTACTTTTTTGTAATTGAAGTTAAAAAAAAATAGGTTGTCTTTGGCCCACTACATAGGTTGGCATTGGCCCGGGCTCAAGTCAGCCCATGTATTAGAGTAAACCTTTTTTAGTGATCATTTATAGATATTATGGTAGTTACTATGTTGGAATGAAAAATTTTGTAGTAATAATGCAATAGAAAATCAGTATAACAGTTTGTATTAGTAAATCAGTATAAAATTATAGTGAAATTTGTTTAGTTCTTAGTTTAAATATGCCACAAAAATACAAGCCAAATCGTGGAAGAAGAAAATATGGTACTTATACTTTAGAACAGTTAGACAATTCATTAAAAGATTTAAAGAATGGTTTAATTACTCAAAGACAAGCAGCTTTGAAATACGATATACCAAGATCAACATTAAAAAATAAAATAAAACAGACATATCCTAAAAAGTATGGTGGTCAGCAAATATTTACATCAAAAGAAGAAGACATATTTAGGGCATGTGCAATAAAATCATCTGAGTTTGGTTTTCCTGTTGATAATTATGATTTAAGATGCATAGTAAAAGGGTATTTTACTATGCATCTTAAATCATACTAGAGAAAAAAGGCGTCATTATACCTAAGTTCAAAAATAATTTTCCACGTGGCAATTGGATTCGATTTTTTTTAAAAAGAAATCCAGAACTCACAGTAAGATTTGCAAGCAACATAAAGCAAAAGAGAGCAGAAATAGGAACGACTGTGATTGATAACTACTTTATAAATCTATCAAATAAAATAAGTAATATATCACCTGATAATAAATGGAATTATGATGAAACCAATCTCAGTGATGATCCAGGTAAAAAAAAATATTAACAAAGCGTGGATGTAAGTATCCTGAACGAATCATTAATTCTACAAAGACCTCATTCTCTATAATGTTTTGTGGCAATGCTTATGGTGAATTGCTACCACCTTATGTTGGTTACAAAGCTGAGTCGTTATAGAATACATAGATGGAACATGGGCCACCAAAAGTACGTTATAACAAATCAAAAAGTGGTTGGTTTGACTCAACATGTTTCGAGGACTGGTTTTTCTCTTTACTTCTTCCAAGGCTTAAGAAGGCTCAAGGAAGAAGTGTCATTATAGGTGATAGCGTATCTTCACATTTGAGCATTGCAGTACTGGATTACCAGCAAACTCTACACATCTCACGAAGCCAGTAGATGTTGCCTACTTTAGACCTATTAAGATTAACTGGCGCAAAATATTATGTGAATGGAAGCAGAAAGGAAAAGGAAGGAGAGTTGCTTCTCTTCCTAAAGATGAATTTCCTAGACTTTTAGACCGTTTAATTACCAACTTAAATGAACATAGGAATGATAACCTTAGAGCTGGTTTTCGCAAAACTGGATTTTTTTTATTAGACAAGTCTCAAGTGCTTTTACGACTACCATGTTATAATGTAGATTTAGACTCCACTACTGATTTAGTAAGCCAATCATTTTTAGATCATTTATGTAAGTCACTGGATGATCCCTCAGATGGTTCTAAAAAACCAAAGCGACGTAAAGTATGTGCTGTCCCAGGTAAAAGCTTATGTTTAGCAGATATATCATCTTTTGTTATAAATGAAAACAATAGATTAAATTCAAATAATGTAGATACACCTATCAGTATTATAAATACAATTGAGACCAACAACATTGACTTTGCTGGCCCAAGTACAAATACTGGAACTACTGAGACTTCTAATCTAATTTTTGCAGATGTAAGTTTAGTTGTAGAAAGTCATCCAAAATCTGTAGATCATTAAGCATTAGGCAAAAAGAACTTTCAAAATATTGATAAAATAAAAAATGTTTGTAAAAAGGAGAAATTACTATATCTTGTAGAGAATTGTTATGTAATTGTTAAATGCAATGGAGAATTAAATTCTGGACAGTTTTGTTTATTTATTTTGATTTATTTATATTTAGCTAATCAATTGGAAAACTTTATAACTAATTAAATTAATAACTAATATTATTTAATGAAACTACTTAAAAATTAAAAAAAAAAAATTTTTCTGCAGTTGAAAAAATTGAGAAAAAATGGAGCAGAAATTAATATTATGAAATAAAATGGACTTAAGTGGAAATGGTCACTACCAGCAGAGCAACCAGTCTGAAATAGTCGATTTTATTGAGGAACCAAAGAAAATTTCGAAAAGAGGAATTTATTCAGTTCCAGAACTTTTTCATTGAATTTTTTTAAACATTATTTTTGTCATTTATGTTTACTTACCTAAACTGTTTTGCTTACTTGGTACCTATACTTGTTTAGTTTGTACTTATATTTTATTTACTGTATACAAGAACTTTGTTACTAAAACTTTTTTTGTCACTTTATTTCTGTAAATTTATTTTCTTTTACTAAATATTGTTGTTTTTATTGTTGTTATGCTTTCTTTAGTTACTTTTTACAGGGTTGGACCAAAGTCACCCTTACACATAGATCGACTTTGACCCACCATTTAAACCACCCAAAAGATACTTCGTGTTAAAAATTTTAAAATGGGAGACAGATAGTTCTAACTGTCCTTTCTATGCACTTCTAAAAGTACTTTGTGCTTGAGGAAATAACTTTTGTGGCTTTCATGCAATAGGCATTAAGATGCATAATGGGCCAAAGCCACCCAATCTTACGGTGAGTCATCTAATATGTCAAGTTTAGTTTTAAAAATTTCCTTTACAATCCTCTCACAATCACTACAGATTTCATTCGGGGTTTCTTTAATGCCATCAATGCGTAAATTATTTCTCCTGTTTTATATACAAATATAAAACCAACGCATCTCCTGTTTCTTATCATAATCTATATACCTTTAAATATTAAGGTAAATATAACTTAAGAAATGATAATCTATTTCGGCAACCTTTTTTTCTAACTAATTTTAAAAAGTCATGTATTTCATTTCAAGGAGCTTTTCTTTGGAACAAAATAGTTTTGAATTTTTTTTTTTTCCTATGAATGGAATTATCTTTCATTCAAGAAAAAACTGAAAGAAATTATTTTATCTTTTAAAGACATATTTTTATATTTTTAAATTCTTCTGAAATTGAATATAAAGCTTATTACATATGGTAATATATAATAGTATACCTGATCCACATCTTATGTGTTTATGAAAACAGTATTTTTTAAAATATTTTTGTATTTATATATAAAAGCATCAATTTCTTTATATACCAATTTTATTTATATATTCTTAAAAAATTTATGTTCTCACTAATTATTACTACGACATTGTTTTGTTTTTTTATTTTATATTTCATGTTAATTTAATGTATTTAATATTCACGAGCGGTTCTCGATGGTAAGACCTGAAGTGTTTTAGCGAGTCTCCGCGTTCTTTTTTTTAATTTTATTTTTATGCCTGTATATTTTGTTATATTTTTTAATTGTATAACGATTTTTATCTTAACTATCTTATTGTATAAATTTATTGAATATTTATGAAAAGAAAAATTCTATCGGTTTTTTTTTTCCCGTTAGATAAAAACGTTTGAAACGTAACGGTTATTTTTTAAAATCAGTCCATGTATCCACGCGAAGCTAAATTAGATTACTTTTTTCACATGTTTTGAATAAAATGTTTAATGAACTTTGTTTAAAATTGCTTGCTTACAACAATGGCCGTAAGAAAATATTCCTCATAAAAAGGGCGAATAGCATAAATTGATATCAAGTTACATACATACATAAACATAACAAAAGCGATGTTTTTTTTTTCTTTATATAATATTTTTATAAAGATTGGTTTGTATAAAAAATAAAAACAAATAAAGACTTTAAAAATGGCTGAAAAGATTTTGTTAGAATGTTATGAAAAGAATCTAAACTCAACTGAAGACACTATATGTCAAAACATTTCAAAGGAAATTAAATGGTATACAATTGATAAAGACATGATAACAGCTAAACTAGCTTATTTATTTCTTGGGGCAGAAAGATCATCAGTTTTACCTTATATAGCTGTATTTTTGACAAGTGTGGGTCTAACCATTGAAGATACTGGAACTGTTTTATCTTTGTCATACGTAGGCATTACGGTTGGAAGCTTGTTTTGGGGAATAATGGCAGATAAAACCCGCTCATATAAAACTATATTGGTTATTTTATTTGTTAGTTACGGGGCAATAAACTTGGCAATTCCTTTAATAAGCGCTAAAGTTGGCTGGAAAAAGTTAAATAAATGTCCTTTGGAAACTAACAAAACTTATAATGCTACGTTACCAGAAGAACCACTAGGTCATTCAACGCAATTAACTTTAGTAATGAGCCTTTTGTTTTTTTCTAGTTCATTTTTCGGAGGGAGCATTTTTACTATGGTCGATGCTGCTGTTATTCAAAAATGTAAAATATCTAAAAGAAAAGCTAACTTTAGTAAACAACTTCTTTTTATTGCAATTGGCTTCGGAAGTGCAACAACAATATCAGGAAAAGTTTTAGAAATATTTCCCAATGCAAAGGTGTCGTGTTATTTTGCTGTCTATGTTGTATCTGCCGTATTTTTGTTTTGTGGATGCATTAGCTCACTATATGTGTACAAAGGTGTTCAAATGCCTCCGAAGCAAGTAAAAGAAAATATACGAAAAGATTTATGGAAAATGTTAAAAAAAATTGACGTAATTTTTTTTTTAAGTACTGTTTTAATAAATGGAATTATGTACAGTATTTATTTAAACTACTTTTTCCTCTTTCTAAAACAATTAAACTCAGCTAATATTATAATCGGATTGACTGTAGCAACCGGTTCATTTTCTGGAATAATTGCGTTGTTTTTTACATCGTGGATCATAAAAGTTCTGTATGGAACGTTTCATACAATGTTGTTTTCAACCGTTCTAATGTCATGCCGATTTTTAGCATTTACTTACCTGAGAAATTCTTTGTTAGTTATACCATTGCAGCTTATTTTACACGGCTGCAGCATGTCTTTATTTTTATCGGTAAAAACCGAACATTTAAAAATTATAAGCCCAAAAAACATTCTTTCAACTATGTTAGGCATGACTTCGTCGATATTTTTTGGAATATCAATGATAGTAGGTAGCAAAATAGGAGGAAGCTTATATGAAGCCTACGGCGCCCGTACACTATTTTTCTGTACAAGTACATTTGGTTTCTTATGGTCAATATTTTTAGGAACTTTTTTAATATTAAATAAATATCGAGCTAAAAAAAAACTAGCAACGGCTGCATTATGTAAAGAAGTGTTACTTTAAGTAATACGTGAATATATTAAATGTACCAATACTGTACTATATAATAAATATTGATTTTTATTTTATAAAAGTTTCACATATATACATTTATCAATATATACAAAAATATTTACAGCTAAAAATGTAATTTTTAATTTTAAATACCTATCTCTCACTCATAAGCACACACTCTCACTTTATATATATATATGTATGTATGTATATATATATATATATATATATATATATATATATATATATATATATATATATATATATATATATATATATATATATATATATATATATATATATATATATATATATAAACATATATAATATACTTATTTGATACAAGAACATTTAAGATCAGAACATCCTGGGTGACATATAGTGCCTTTTGGGCAACAGTGCCAAGAATCTTCACAATCTACAGCATACATTAAAGGACAGCATGCGCTACCAGACCTTGAAACAATATTAGTGGTGCAGGTAGTGCGTGCAGGACATTGATCACCTAGTACAGGACAGGTAGTAGCGTTTACTGACAAATCGACAATTTGCTTTGGCACCGGCATTTTTCCTAAAATAAATTTTTCGTTTGAAAGTACTTAAAATTTAACAAGAATTTAGTTAATTATAATTTATTAAAAAACTTTAATCTCACCGCGATTCGAAATTTTCCTTTTATCTAGCAAATATTTTATTGCAAAAGCAATTCTTTTTCCTAAAATAATCGCTCCAGTGACACCGTAATGCTAAAAGAGAATTTTAATTTAAAAAAAAATATTTAGTTGGCTAGTCTAGTAAATTTTTGATGATCTTTTTTTTTATTAAAAGCCAGTTGGTCCTTTTTAAGAATTCACATCTCTCCCCCCTCATTTTATTTGTAGAATCGCCTCTCTCTCTCTCTCTCTCTCTCTCTCTCTCTCTCTCTCTATATATATATATATATATATATATATATATATATATATATATATATATATATATATATATATATATATATATATATATATATATATATATATATATATATATATATATACATATGTATATATATATATATATATATAATAGTAATAACGTTTTCATAACTTGATATGACCGAGGGCAAGATGAATTTTGTTTAAAAACACTGAAAATTGGCAATTTTATTTAAAAACTTCCCACAAGAAATTTAAAAATTATTTTTCGAAATTTTGCGAAAAAGTGTTATTATAGCTCAGTAAAATCAGCAAAAAAAATCAGTGAAGAAATTAGGAGCAGGCTGAAAATTGCTGGAAATGTTCAGCATTTCCAGCATTTTTTATTAATATTGGATAAAATTGGCCAAATTCAGACTGGAGCTTTGTCTGAAATCTAGGATGGCGTCCAAAATAATATTTGTAATATCTCAGCCTGTAGACGATCAAGAAATATGATTCTTGCATCTGGTATTATGTTTTTGAGGTCAAGAAATTCATTTTTTGACATTTTTTATTTTTAAGCTAAACAGCTAAAACATGGCGGCCAAAAAAAGTTCTATAATTAATACACTTACAATGTTGTAAGTGTCAGCTCATATTCATTTAAAATTAGAAATTATTTGTTATATTATTATGTTACATTTGTTATACTGAAATTAATTTGTTATTTGAAATTAATTTGTTATTTGAAATTAATTTGTTATTTGAAATTAATGTAGAAGATTTAATGTAGCAATTTATAACTGTTTAATGAGTGAAGCTTGTTCTCTGATGAACTCTACGTTTCTAAACTGAAAACTAAATTAAGTTAATTTATAAATAATCACATTAATTATAATTGTGAAGAATTTATTCTTGTTTCTCAGTAACACTAAAGAAACTTTTAACTTATTATATTTCTCACCAACTGACTGTGAATCTGAAAAACTAATTACAATGTAAACTATATTATAACGTCAATTCTCATGCGGCTTAGAATGCGCGATTCATAGCACACTAATAAGTTATTATTTCTCAATTGTAATTCCTTTGAGGCTTCAAACGCACGTATACAAAGTCATTGTTGCAACATAAACCGCTAATTGCTTATTTATATTTACAACAGATGTTGTCGCCTAAGGCCAGAATGTCTCCAGAAGAATACTCAAAATTTACAAACGACGGGTATTTCACCATTCGCCAAACACAAATTTTGGGCCAGCATTTAAACTTATAGAGCAGGTACTTATGAGATCAATGAAGATATTAGGTGGGCTTATACGTGGAAGAGGCTTAACCGAAAGTGTACTTTCTCGTTGGATTCTCGGTATCTCCGGATGTTCAACTGTTGCAAATGATATTAAAGATTTTTGAGGTATCACTTTTAAATCGTCAGAGCAATACGTTGAATTGCGTGAATTGAAGCAAGCACGTAAAATTTGCAATACCTTTATCTTTATTGGATGGATATAAGCCTACGAACCATTTTGTGCGCCCGACTTGAACTGATCTCACTTTCCAAAGGTAAAATGGACGATAATAAAATTTACTGTGGTAGAGCATTTGAAACTAACATAAATGCTATGAATATAATAGTTAGAATGAATTTTGTCAATAATTATTTAAAACGGATGGATAAAAAACCTGCAGCATGTTTTAAGTACGAGTTGGCACCGACGCTTTGATAAGTCAAGCACGTTTTGATAAGTCACTTATAATGCAAAAAAATTTAAAAGCAGTTCTATGTGATACAATAGAATCAATTGTACCATGTGACGAAATAAAACTTGTCTCAAAACTTGTCATCGATGAAGGGTATCTATATATATATATATATATATATATATATATTATATATATATATATATATATATATATATATATATATATATATATATATATATATATATATATATATATATATATATATATATATGTTATTTATGATATGTGCTACATCAATATGGGAAAAACTGTTGGGTTGTTTTTGATGGCTATTTTGATAGTCTACCTAATACCAAATCAAAAGAACACAGACAACGCAAGTCCAAAACAGTTTCGCCAGATGTTATTTTTGACGAATCAATGACAGTTAATTCAACCCAGGCAAATTTTATTTTAAATCCTTGCATCAAAACTAGATTTATTGAAGCTTTATTATGCGCAGATTCTGGAATTTATGTTAAACAAGCACCAGAAGATGCGAATACTCTTATTGTCAATGCAGCAATTAATTTGTCAAGATATGGTTTCAACGAACCTGTTGTGATTATAGGAGAAGGCACAGATTACATGAGGCTTTAATAGATTCAACTACTAATATTTTCATAATGAAGCCTGGCAAAGATACTATGCGAAACAATCTTTACAGTTCGAACAAGCTGATTTTATTTTTACATGCAATGTCTGGATGCGATTCAACATCAATGTCGTACAGTAAAGGCAAAAATAAAAGCCTTCAAATTGTTGCGTATGGGTATATGTAAAGTTGCTGATTTATTTAACACGCCAGAATCCAAACACGATAAAATTGCTCATGCCGGAGAACAATTTTACCTAGCACTATATGGATTGAAAACAAAGTCAATTTCACTTGATAAACATCGTTATTATTAGTATCTTTGCAAAATAGCATCAAACCAAGTTAACAAAACATTCAATTTAGCTGTATTATCTCCAACAATTTCCGGAGCAAAGCAACATTAATTTTGTGTCAACGATCAAGTACAGCAATGGGTCGGTCATAACTTGGATCTACTGGAATGGGGTTGGAAAAAAAATAGCATAAAATCTCTTACTAACATCAAATCTTTAACCACCAGCCCCAATTTTTTGCTTCTTGTGAGTTGTATGCATTTTTTAAATAATCTGTAAATTAGATGCATTAGGAATTGCAAATGTAAAAAAGGTAAATGTAGTCTTATGAATAATAAATATAACGATAAAAGCGATTAAAATAACCCAAAACTTGCTAACAAAATAATACATTCCTGTAGTAGTTGCTTTGCAATAATCAAAAACGGCCTTTAATAGTTATTTAATTGTACTTAGGTGGTTTGAATTGCTAATTAATGCGTGGGTCATGCCACGGAGTGGATAGCTTAAATCCTGCAAACGTAAATGATGCTGACACATCTGATGAAGATAAAGATTATGACAAATTACAAGATATAAAAATTCTTTTTTAAAATATGAAAAACATAACACTTGACGCAAAAATTGTACTTTAATTGATCAACAAGCTGAGATATATAACATTTCAATTTTGGCCGCCATCTTGGATTTTGACAACCATTTTGTTTTTTCATAAAACTAAAAAGTTCAGAAATTATTTTTTTAACCTCATAAACAAAATAGTAGACACAAGAATCATGATTCTAAGTGATCTACAATCTCAGCTATTACAAACTGTAATTTGGATGCCATCTTGGACGCCATCATGGATTTTAGATAAAGCTCCGCTCCGATTTCGGCCGATTTTTCTAATATGAATCAAAGAACACATTCACAGCAATTTTCAGCTTGCTGCTAATTTTTTTCCGGGTCAAAACCTATTTTGACTGATCTATTAGATAAAATTACTTTTTAAAAAAATCAAAAAAAACTTTTAACATAAGAAGTCCTCTAGGAGTTTCTTATGTTAAAAGCTTTTTTAAAGCTGAAAATCAACAACCTAGATTAATCAATTTTATGTTAAAAGCTTTTTATAGTAATATAATAATATAGTTATATTAAAAGAATTTTTAAAGCTGCAAATTAACAATATAGACATTGTTAATTTGCACATTTTTCACACATATTGTATGTATTATTACAGTTATATCATTTATATGAATTTTTTTATAATGTTATATAATTAATAATGTTATATAACTAATAGATTTAGATTAACTAGATCATCAACTTGTTTCAAAAGTTTTTGTAAAATATTTTCGCTTTTATGGTTTTTTTTTTAACGAATTAGATAGTTGTTTTTAGAGGCAAAAGACCAATCAATTTATCCATTTTTTCAAATGTGCTGCATACCCTGCAAACGAATCAGATTGCACCATTAAATAGCCATGAACCAATTATATTGTGTGGTTTCTAAAATATTTGCAGCTCACGCAAAGCATAGTTTTTCACTCTAGAATTTATTTTATTTTACCTTTAATAATATGTTTGGAGATAATGACTTTCAACCGATATGTCGTGCCATGATTTGCTTGAAGTCTAGGTTATTTAATGGACTGAAATTTTGATGGAAAGTCATTATCTCAGAATAGAGGACATACCTATACCTCGGTATATAAGTTAGATTGTCGGATGTTATCTATTTGTCAACATTCGACAGATGATGTTGACAAACCCATATACTGAGGTATTGAAATGTCTTATTTTTTAAATTTCTGTCAAATAATTACAAAAACCTTATTTACTACTTTTGTAGGAACATCCCCATTGACGATAACCACATTTTTTTTAAAGTGGAGTAAAATAAATATTGTATCCAATAAAAATTAGCTTTAAATCCAATCCAATACAAATTAGCTTTAAAACTGATTTTTGTAAACAACAAAGTATTGTTTATAGAAACTAAACTTTATTGTTATTTAACTCATTATTTCTATAAATCACAATTAATTTGTTGTAACAGTCAAACTTCAATATTTATATTTGTGGTATCAAAAATTATAACGCTCTTTTTCTATAATTGGTATTGCTCCAATATTTATTTAGTATTTATAAATGGTCCATTAACTCTGATAAAAATTATTAATATTTTCTCATCACCAAGAAATAGTGCAGCTAAGCAAAACTTGATTAGCTGC